TCGGCAGTATGATGATCCCCATTTGTGTGTCCTTAGAGACACGGTGCAGCGCGGAGATGCCAGGCAGGTCACCTTAGATGATGATGGAGTTTTGAGATTGCAGGGTCGAGTATGTGTGCCTAATGTGGATGGGCTCCGAGAGTTGATATTGGAGGAGGCCCATAGCTCCCGGTACTCTATTTATTCGGGCGCCGCGAAGATGTATCAGGACTTGCGGCAGCATTATTGGTGGCGTAGAATGAAGAAGGATATCGTAGCATATGTGGCTCGTTGTTTGAATTGTCAGCAGGTTAAGTACGAGCATCAGAGGCCTAGTGGTTTATTTCAGAGGATTGAGCTTCCCGAGTGGAAGTGGGAGCGGATCACTATGGACTTCATTACTGGACTTCCGCTGACTCGGAAGAAGTTCGACGCAGTATGGGTCATTGCTGATAGGCTGACCAAGTCAGCACATTTCATTCCTGTGGCAGTTTCCTATTCTTCTGAGAGGTTGGCTGAGATCTATATTCGGGAGATTGTTCGCCTTCATGGTGTGCACGTATCTATCATTTCGGACCGGGGTACGCAGTTTACCTCGCGCTTCTGGAGAGCAGTTCAGCGAGAGTTGGGCACACGAGTTGAGTTGAGCACAGCATTTCATCCCCAGACGGACGGACAGTCCGAGCGGACTATTCAGATTTCGGAGGATATGCTCCGAGCTTGTGTCATTGACTTTGGAGGTTCGTGGGATCAGTTCTTGCCTTTAGCGGAGTTTGCCTACAACAACAGCTACCAGTCGAGCATCTAGATGGCTCCTTATGAGGCTTTATATGGTAGGCGTTGTCGGTCTCCGGTTGGATGGTTTGAGCGGGGGAGGCTCGGTTGTTGGGTGCGAATCTGGTTCAGGAGGCCTTGGACAAGGTCAGGATCATTCAAGATAGGCTTCGTTCAGCTCAGTCCAGGCAAAAGTGCTATGCATACCGCAAGGTTCGAGATGTGGCTTTTATGGTTGGTGAGCGGGTATTGCTCCGAGTGTTGCCTATGAAGGGCGTGATGAGATTTGGGAAGAAGGGCAAGCTTAGCCCTAGGTTCATTGGCCCGTTTGAGATTCTTGATCGAGTGGGAGAGGTGGCTTATAGACTTACATTGCCACCGAGCTTATCAGTTGTGCATCCAGTGTTTCATGTGCCCATGCTTCGGAGGTATCACGGCGATCCAGCCCACGTGTTAGATTTCAGCACTGTCCAGTTGGACAAGGACATTTCTTATGAGGAGGAGCCGGTGGCTATTCTAGACCGGCAGGTTCGTCAGTTGAGGTCGAAGAGTTTCCCTTCAGTTCGTGTTCAGTGGAGAGGTCAGCCTCCTGAGGCATCAACTTGGGAGTCCGAGTCCGATATGCGGAGCCATTATCCTCATCTTTTCCCCGACTCAGGTACTTCTTTCTTCTATCCGTTCGAGGACGAACGGTTGTTTTAGAGGTGGAGAATGTGACGACCCAAAGGGTCATCACCTATTTTAATTGAATTCTGTGTCCCCGAGGCCTTGAAAACCTCATTTAGAGTTGCCTCGATTTGCGTGCGCAGTCCGGGCGCGTAGCCGGAAAGCTTAAATATGAAATTCTATGAAAAATGCTAAGTTTTGATGTTAAAATGGATAAATTTGACTTTGGTCAACATTTTGGGCAAACGGACTCGGACCCGTGATTTGACAATCCCGAGGGGTCCGAAGGAAAATATGGGACTTGGGCGTATGCCCGGAATCGAATTCCGAGGTCCCGAGCCCGAGAAATGATTTTTTAGAAAAATTATTTTCTGGAAATGTTTAAGAAAATTGGAAATGAAATCTGATTAGGAAGCGATGGTATCGGGCCCATATTTTGGTTCCGGCGTCCGGTACAGGTCTTATATATGTTTTAAGTCCTTCCTGTGAAATTTGGTTGAAAACGGACGTCGTTTGACGCGATTCGGACTTGAATTTCTAAATTTGAAACTTGATGAAGTTTGAGGAAAAATTCATGATTTTGAGGTTTGATTCATTATTTTTTAGGTTAATTAGGCGATTTGATCGCACGAATAAGTTCGTATGATGTTGTTGAGTTAGTACGTGTGTTTGGTTAGGAGCCCCGAGGGCTCGGGTGTGTTTCGGAGGTGTTTCAGAATGGTATAAGACTTATAAAAAATTGCAGGTTTTTGCTGTTCAGTGCCCAGGGATTTTGTTCATCGCGTTCGCGTGGGACCTCTCGCGAACGCGTAAGGCAAAAATCCCGGGAGTTCATTTTCTTCTTCGCGAACGCGAAGGTGGTGACGCAAACGCGAAGCTGAGGGGGGTAGACCCTTCGCGAACGCGTCCCTCCTCTCGCGAACGCGTAGGCAGGGGGAAGGGCCACCAGTTTGTTCTTCGCGAACGCGTCTCTATGCATGCGAACGCGAGGCTCGAGGAGATTACTCTCCGCGAATGCGAGCCCCAGTACGCGAACGCGAAGTTCTATGGACCTAACTCATCACGAACGCGTGAGTCTGTCGCGAACGCGATGAAGGATTTTGCCCAGTTATTTTAAGTTCCAAAAACAGAACCCATTACGGGATTTCTCAAATTTTTACAAAACTTCTTCATCTCCAAAGCTCCTAGGCGATCCTTGAAGCACTTTTTCATCAAAACATCTTGGGTAAGTAATCTTTAACTCGTTTTCTTCCATTTTCATCAACGTCTAATGAATTTCTAGGCCTAAAACATATGATTAAGGGTAGAAAATTAGGGATTTGGGTAGAGTTAGGGTTTTTTTGATTTTTCTTGATTTAGAACTCGTTTTGGGGTCAAATTTGAAAAACAAATTATATATTCGGGCTCGTGGGTGAATGGATGATTTGATTTTGGTCCGAACCTCGTGTTTTGACCAAGCGGGCCCGGGGTCGATTTTTGAGTTTTTGGAAAGAATGATGGAAAAGCTATAATTAGGCATTGGATTCAAATTGTTAAGCATTATTTGATGTTATGAAGTCATTTATGTAGAGATACAAGTGATTTGGAGCCGAATTCGAATGGAAAGGCGGTTATTGAGGATTGAATTGGCCGTGGAAGTTTGAGGTAAGTGTTTGGTCTAACCTTAGCTTGAGGGATTAGGAGTTGAGTCATATTTGCTATGTGTTTCTTGTGGAGTACGACGTATAGGCATGGTGACGAGTATCTATACGTCGGTGTCGAGCATGACCGTGAGTCTTAAATTGATATTTGTTGTATTCTTGAATAATACTAAGGTTGCAATAGTGAGTAGATCCGTGATTTTGAGCAAAGGCTTAGCTTATTTTCGTAGAAGTTATTTATGAGTTAGAAATGGTGATAATGGAGATGATTAGAAGTTGAATTGAGATTGGTTATAGCGGGTTCTCCCTTGCCGGGTCGAATATACTTGTACTGTTGAGTTCCCTTGCCGGGATAGAGTATTTTATGGTTAATACCTTGCCGGAATTTTTGCCGTGATTACTGTAAGCTGTATATTTGGAACGGGTTGCGCGCCGCAACATTTTTATTTATGTATACATATATTGATCGGGTTTCACGCCGCAACATATATTATACTGGATCGGGTTGCACGGCACAACATATATTATATTGGATCGGGTTGCACGCCGCAACATACATTATATTGGATCGGGTTGCACGTCGCAACAGATATATTATATTTATTGGATCGGGTTGCACGCCGCAACAATTATATATATACATATGGATCGGGTTGCGCGCCGCAACAGTAGTGTTATTATATTGTGTTGGATACTGTATTGTTCCTTCATATTTATTTAGTTTCTGCTAAGTTGAACTGTTTCCCCGAGGCATGTACCCCCTCCCTTTTAACTGCTCATTACTTGTTTATTTTTCTGCAATATATTATATATCCGCACAGGTTTATCTGGAGTCTGGTCCTAGCCTCGTCACTACTTCGCGGGGTTAGGCTAGGCACTTATCAGCACATGGGGTCGGTTGTGCTGATACTACACTCTGTGCTCTTTTTCGTAGATCCAGGTACCAGAGCAGCATACGGTGCGCAACAGTAGTTCAGGAGCCAGCCTTCAGTCCACGAGATCCCGAGGTAGTCCTGCACGCGTCCGCAGGCCCGGCATCTCTTCTATCTATTCTGATGCACTGTTTCCTTTTGCATCCGAGACAGACTTTATTCCTTGTTTCAGACAGTTGTATGTAGCACTCTTAGATAGTCCGTAAATTTTGCGACACCAGTTCTGGGTAGAGGCATATGTGGATTTTCCTTATTATTTTGGTTTATTTCGTTTAAGTCTTCCGCCAAACTACGAATTCCGCTGTTGTTAATTATTTATTTCCTGTTAATTAAATTGGTAAAAATGGATTTAAAACAAAAGTATTTATGGATTCTAAATGTGTGGCTTGCCTAGCTTCTATGAGTAGGCGCCATCACTACTCCCGAGCGTGGAAATTCCGGGTCGTGACAACACCAATGAATTAGTCTCGATACACCAATATGCACTAATTAATCATCAGAACAAAAATGAAGATTTGTTTACCTCGAAATAAAGTTTTTTCAATCTTTAATGATTGAAAACTAGATTAGTGTCTCCTAATATGGCTTTTTTTAAATCTTTTTTAATAATCCGTTCAAAGGAAAAATTAAAAGCTTGTAATTGAATTCAATAAAACTTGTTATATAGGTACAGTAAACAAATACTGCCTAGTAGGAGCAAAATGGACCTAAGAAAACAAAGGATGCTACGCAATTAGAAAAAATAAGGATACATGCCTTTAATCAATCATTTCATAAATTAAACTTCACGCTACTAAGGAAATAGCGATACAAATCTTGAATACAAATACACATCTAAAGTGTTATCATGATAATCACTAAAAAAAAACTCAGCTAAACTAAGCAATAGAAAAATATCAGTCGACCATCTTTCTTCGGAATTATCTGAACAGGTTGATCCTCCCATCCCGTTTATTTTAGCAACTTACCCTAATATCTCCTTAGTAGAACGGAACAACATATGAACTCTTCAGAATACTGGAGAACCAATTGGTGAAGTAACCAAATAAGGGAAGTTGTTCGAATTAAACTTGTTATCTTCAAAATCCCCTGAGCAACTCCCCAAAAAATTATCCATTTGTACTCCAGTAAAATTATTTGCTGAATTTTGTGTATATTCAGGATCAAATAACTCTGAGAACTCTTCAATAAAACTTGGAAGGTCTGTTTGGACATCTTTTGTTGGGCAAGGATTTTCCAAACAAGTAATTGTAGACAAAGGAAGATTTTGATCACCAACTTTTGTAGTATTTGGTACATTATTGTTCATCAACAAATTTTCCGAGGAATTTAATGTTGATGGTATCGATGATTCGAGGTTTTTGTTAGCAAAACCATCAAGAAGAATAGAACTAATGTCATTTGTTGTTGGTAATTTTGTGCTTGCTCTTTGCCATGCTTTTAATATGTCAAGACAAGGAAGTTGATAATAAGGTTGCGAAACGACGTAGTTGTTGTTGTTGTTGTTGCGAGTGTTATTGAAGAGGAATTTAGAGTGATCTTTTGATCTACGAACAAGTCTTGCTTCTGCTTCAAGTCTTGCACTTTCCCATTCAGCCATATGACTAAGGTTTGCAACATACTTAGATTGATCATTTGAGCTACCATTAATGTTGTTTGTGATTTTTGGCTTGTGAGTCATTGGGTCAATGCCCATTTTCGTTAATCTCTTCTTCAAACGTGAGTTCCAATAGTTTTTTATCTCGTTGTCTGTTCTGCTAGGCAAGTAAGCTGCTATTGCTGACCATCTGAATAACAAAGAGAGGAATTAACCATGTTAATGTGGCACAAATTTATCACACATGAAAAATGTTACACAAAAATAAAAGTATATATTATGTAAATTGGGACAGAGACAAAGGTAACTAACAATTTATGACCCCAACCCCATGGCAGAAAATAATGAGTTCTATCATTTACTGTCATTTTTCTTAATTTATTGTCCTTCATTAAATTATTACCTGTTTCCAAGAAGAGCATGAAGCTGAATGATAGTTCTTTCTTCTTGTAAACTGAACTTTCCTCTCTTGATATCTGGCCTTAGATAGTTGATCCATCTTAGCCTACAACTCTTCCCACACCTCTGCAGACCTAAAAAGGAAAAAATTCCAAAATTATAATATGCTAGCATTCCAAAAAATAATTAAGTAAATAAAGTGTACTCTGTAACAGCTTAAACTCTTAGACGAAATGATCATGCAATTCAACTTGGTGATCACACTTTATAAACTACACACACACACATATGTATACCGCTTAGACTAAAAATAGCGGCAGATACATAATATATGTATAATTTATATATAAATATATGTATAATTATGTATGATTAGTGTATAATCTATTTGAAGACTAAACGCGTCCATATTTAATAATGCACGAACTCTTTCTTCTATATCGAGGATCATCAAAATAAACAAGAATACTATTTCGATGGAAAATATCATCTACGGGATTTCAATCGAGACCATGGCTTCAGGGGAAGGGGGAGTTGACTTTAATTAAGACACGTTTTTTCGGATGGACGATATAGATTTTTCGAGATAGTTAATCAGTTTTTTAACTGTAACAGTATACCAGCTAGAAAAAATAAATAGTAAATCTAACCGGCTATTTCTGTAAATAATAGTTACTAATATTATTACCAGCTTTAGCAGGCAAAGCACGCCAGCTACCACAACCATGTTCCTCAATGCAAGACAAGAGTTTTTGGTCTTCTTCTGGTGTCCATGGCCCTTTCTTTAAACCTTCTTTATCACAGCACTTGGACCTTCCCATTTTAACGCTAAGTTAACACAGAGAAAATCAAGAAAGTCTATTATTCTGTCTTTCTTTATGTGGAAATAAGAGAATATGGTATATGGAAATGCCAGTTGAGAGTATATATAGGCAAATGATATATGCAAATGAAGAAATAATAAGTTGTGTGATCAGAGAGTTAGCTGCAATGTAAAATAAATGTTAAAAAGGGTACAAATTCCTAGCTAACATGTGGTAATGATCCCAGCAGCACACTATGTGAAGCTTTAATTACAATATTGGAAATTTTCATGCAGTTATTTTGATTGAACTGCCTGATTCTCTAGTTGGCGGTCCACGAATGAAAATCATCCCAACCGTTCAACAAAATTGCTATCTATAGCTTCTTTTTTTTTTTTTTTTTTTTTTTTGAAAATATCACGGGCTAGCCAGTTTCCATACAGGCAATCGAAAAATAGTCAGCGTTTGAAAAGTCATTGAAAAATAGCTGTTGTTTTGCTGAAACACGGAAAGTTCCAGTATAATATACGGATTATGGAGCTTATGCGTATAATAACTTCCAGCATATTATGTTGGAACTCCAGCACACAGAAAGCTCCAGCATAATATGCGGGATTATAGAGCTCCTGCATATAAACTTTCCGCATATTATGTTGGAACTCCATCACATTATAAAATTCCATCACATTATGCTGGAAGCTCATATGTAAAATTTCGAACTCCAGCATATTATGCTAGAAAGTCATATGTGGTTAGTTAGAAATGATAACTGACGTGTTATTATATGTTAAACTATACTAATAGTGTATAATATTATATACTTTCAATGTTTATAACTTAAACCCATGAAAGCTATTAAAAGCATATATTTTTCTAAATAATAACAAAAAATGAAAATCCTGCTACACTTGTACGTATGATCAATAGTTACGTTATTTGTACATTCAAGTTGAGTAAAGTGATACTCTCTTGCCCTACTTAGTAATTGTAGATACCAATGCAAAGATTGAATTGCTTACACCTTAGACTTATTAGTTATTTTAGTAAGTATTCAAAGACATAGAGGAAGAGAATACACGTTCTTATCCAAAGTAATGAAACAGTCGTCTCTTTAAAAAAGAAACGGAAAAGGGTCAAAACTGCCCCTAGACTATTGGAGTTGGTACAATAATGCCTTCCGTCCATCTATTTTGAAAAAATTGCCCTCACCGTTATCTTTCGGCTCAAGAATTCCCTTACGACTAACGGTCATGTTAGATAAAAAAAATTTAATTAATTTCCACGTGTCATAACGGAAAAAAGGTCAAAACTGCCCCTAGACTATTGGAGTCGGTACAATAATACCCTCCATCTCAAAAAATCTCTCCCCCCCACCCCCTCCACCCTCCCCTTCCTAGCGTGTGTGCGTTCATATTTTTCTTGTTCTTCTCATCCTTTTTTTGACCTTGCACTCTATTTGAATAATCACTACAACCTTGCACTCTATTTGAATAATCACTACAACCAATCATTAAACTTTACTGCTTCATACAATAAGCTCAATCAAGTGTTTATTACAGTCACATTCACCAATAAATCATATTCTCTCATATTCTAAGGCATATGATCTCAAGTATTTCTCTTGATTTAACTGTCTCTTTTTTAAAATTGGCGGTGTTGATATAACTTGAAGAGCATCCTCGTACAAATGGCTTAATTTATGGACATGGTCAGATGTTCAGACTATGGTGAGCCAATGAAGAAAAAGAAGATCGAGGTCCGAGCAGAGAACAAATAACATTGGTATAATCAAAATTGGATGCAGATTTGTCAGGAAATATACAACAAAAAATATTCCAAATGCTCAATGATCATTACTATTGGCAGAAAAATAACTTATTAAACCATAAAATCTTACAATGAAGAATTAACATCAAAGAATACCTGATTTCACTCAGAAAATTGATTTAATAAAAAATGTTAATTTAAAAATTAAATTAAGGCCGAAAAATCTGAGATGAAGAGGAAGATCCGTGGGTGTTGAAGAGTGAAAATCTAAGGCGGAGTAGGTTAATAAGCGGATATGGGGTGAGGTTTTAATTTAAGCCAATAGGAAATTAACACATAATAAATAATAAAAAAAAATTTTAATCAAAATAGGGCTGTTAGTTTTTAGGGTATGAGTGGGCCGAAAAGTTGACGTTAGGGGCATGAATGGGCCAGGTTTTTAACGGTGAGGGCAGTTTTTACAAAATAAGTGGACGGAGGGTGTTTTTATACTTAAGCGAATAGTTTAGGGGCAGTTTTGGCCCTTTTCGGAAAAAGAAAAATCGGTGTCCTCCTTCCTTAAAGGAAGTTATTTAAATAGGAAAAAGGTCATTATTGTACCTGTACTATTAGAATTAATGCACTTTTGTCTCCCGTTTCACTTTACGTTCAATTCTCACCCTACCGTTAATAAAGTTGATATAATTACTCCTAATCTTAACGGCTCGTCGATGTGGCAGCTGACCCCCTCTTTTTTTCCAAGTCAGCCGCCAACTCAGATTTCCATTAAGTTATAAACCCCAAATCGACTCCCAAATTAGATTGACCCTATTTCGCTCCCAAAATTTTGACACGTAACCCGTAACCGTTTGCCCACTAAATAAATAAAATTAACCCGTCTTAAAATACTTTATTCACTTCATTTGGTCGAACCTTCGCTACTTGAAAAAAACGAGAGAACCAAACCGGCCAGAATCCTTGCGTCCAGTGCGGATTTCAAGCAAAGGTAAGAAATTATTCATCTTGATGTTTCTGTTAGTTTTATCTCTTTCTTGTATGTAAGTGAAGTGAAGTTTTACTTGCATTTCAAATCCCTTTCAGATTTATTCTTGGTTGGTTAGGGATTTCAGTTCCCTTTTCTTTATCGATTATTTGAAGCTGATAGGTGTGTATAGCAGTCATAGGGTTTCTAATTTGTTATTTATTGAAGTTAGGGTTTACAGAGTAGTTCTTGGTTGGTTAGGGTTTTCTCTTCTCCTTTCTTTGTCGATAATTTCAAGCTGGTATGTGTGTGTTTTGCTTTTGTATTCACTTGCATGTGGTTTTACATTATTAAACCATAATTTTATCTTTTTGTTTGCATGTGCCTCATCTGGTATTGAAAAGTCTTTTTGGTGGTTTAGAGTTTCAATTTTAACATTTTATGGTCCCAACTTCCTTTGGTTTTTTATAGAAAATAAGTGAATCAGAATTTTAATATTGGCTTTCATTTATTTTTTCTGCATTGTGTATTGGAGGGTGGGGCTGGGACACTTTATTCCCTTGTTACTTTAATACTTTAATGTATGATCCCCCATATTAATGGCTGCATCTATTAGTTTATTAATGTTGACTGACTTATTCAATGTGTGGCTGATTCTATTTTATTTTGTCTTTATGCCTTTATGCCTTTATATGCATCTATTAGTTTATTAATTTTAACTGACTTTATTCTGCAGTATACTAACAATGGTCCTGCTGGATTTGGTATTTCATCATGGTGGAGAGTGGGTCAAGAAACCACTCGGGGCACATTCAAGAAAATTTCTGCACATTAAGAAAGGTTTTGACTCTGACTTGCTTTCCTATAATAATTTAGTGGATGAATATGTTTCTAACTTAAGGTATATAGGAGTCCAATAACTGATAGTTAATGGTCCTTCTGGTACATACTATGAAATAGAAGGTGATTATGGCATTAGGACTTAATTGAACTTTGTGAACAACCAGTTTAATGTTATTAATATATTTGCTATAGAGGAATGTGAGCCAAGTATTAATGTACCTAATATAATCCATCACAATGAGCATGTGATGAAGGTGATAATTGTGATGACAATGAATATGTTGTTTCTTCAAACTATGATTGTGATAGACTAGAGAATCTTTTTAAACAAAATAAGAGAGACATTAATGATAAATTGACTGACTATAAAGAGTTTGATAGGTCAATGACATTCAAAGATATTGCTGAAGCTAGGAAAGAGGAAAGAGATAAATATGTATGCACTTGCAAATGGTTATGTGTTAGAGCAACTTAAAAGTGATCCAACTAGGCTTAGGTACATTTGTGAAGCTGGCTGCCCTTTTGTATGTCACATATCTAGGAATACTTTAGGGGGTCGGGCTGAATTCAGGACCATACATTCTGAGCACACTTGTGAACCTGCACATGAGAATCATAGAGTTAATTCCAAGACCATTGGTGAATGTTATGAATGTTGACAGTTGGTGTTCAGTTAATTACTGTCCATTTTTTTCCCTTTTCAATTTCAGTTTTCCAGTTATCTAGTTATCCATTTTTACGACTGGAATGTAAGTTTTTCAGTTTTACACTTGTTGCTGTCCTTTGTGTCAAATGAATTGGATTGGAAGCAATTAAATGACTTAGTTATTCAACATGCCATTTAGAAATATCAAATATGCAGAACATATACTAATAAGGGAAAGCAACAAATACTACTACACCAAAGAACCTCATACAATAAGGGAAAAAACTGACCAAGAAATACTACGACAACATCATCATCAAATCTGCAGAACATGGCTGGAAAGCAACAAATTCTACTATAGCATCAAATACTACTACAACATTGCTTAATTGACCTAAAAGTCATCTACACATATATAACTCAAAATCAGCAATCTCGACTTTGCAAAAAAGTCACTTCATCGAGGCTGCAAAAAAAAAAAAAAAAAAAAAAACAAGAAACAGTCCCCAAGAAATCATAAGCAGCATCCTTGTCTTTGTAAGTTTATCTTCCAACTTGATGGCTTTATTCACTTCATATTGGTGTATAGCCTTCATGGCAATTACTTCTTCATTCAATCTGTCCCTTTGCATCTTAATCTCATCCATTGACGATGTTACATCTTTAATATTAGTCCAATCACTTTGCGGGAAGATTTTATCTTTTCATTCCCAAAATCCACATGAACTAGGTTGTCAAACATAATTCAAAAAGAACATTTAGCTAATAATTACAAAATTCTAAACTTGTAGATATCATAATTAGAATAAAGTTATAAAAACAAAAAA